TGCAATGAAGATTGATACTTCACAAGCTTGGAGATGAGGTCTGCTCGCCGGACTGAGACCCCGCCAGCGGCCACCAAGAGGTCCACGAGCATGGGGAGTGCGTTGGACGGATTGCGCTCATATCGTAGGGCATAAAGGGCGACTAGGCCAACCTTGCTGTCGCTTGTCACCTTTGGAGACTGAATAAGCTTTTGAATGTTCTGTGGGAAGAGTCAGCTTCTGGTATCTGCGCTGGGAAGCCGTACTATGATTGTCGGATAATACCTTGAGATCAGCCGCATGGTTGTCATTACAAGCGAGACTTTGTTCCAGCTCACTGACTTCGAGTAGGTTCTCGGCTCCAACACGTCTACTCAACTCTGAAACCAAGGTGACGTGCTTGCTAACATTTCCGGATAGCTTGCGGAACTCAGGGTATTCCTCGATGAAGCGCTTCATGTCCGATATCGACTCGATATTTGAGCTGTTTTGTGTCTTGGACTGGTATTGCTCCACGTAGTCTTTGATGTTCCCGCCCAAGTCACCAAAGTTGAGATACATGTTCTTCTTGAAGAAAGGATCCTGGTCTTGCGACAAGACAATCTCCTTCAGCTCCGGGCGAATATCAGGCACATCGCTTAGGTCGACTCGGCCGTTGGTAATACCAAGAAGATGGTGCACCATGGCTTGATATGTCCATTGCGTGAGAAGTGGTGTTGCTGGATCCTCGCGCCTGTCGAGCACGAGCAGGAGAGGAGGCGTGTCCACCTTCCGGAAGTCGAAAAGCTGCTCCTCTTGTGTAATACGATATCGCACTTCTGTAGCCAATTTCTTGGTAAGTGGGCTGGTCTTGGAGTATCTGATCAGCGGTTTCTTCTTCAGTGCAAGAAGCACAGCAACGAGTCCGTCAGCACTTCGTTGCAGGGCGTCTGGGTTCCACGTGTCTTGGTTGCTGCCCCACAGACGCTGATGGGGAAGGCTGAGTCCAAGTGAGAACAGATCGGGGTTGATGACGATGAAGTCGGCAAACTGCTCCTGAACCAGCTTCACAACCTCATGGTCGTCAGCCTCGGCAAGTCTTTCTAGTGATGACTTCTTGACGACGTTGGTGAAATACAGATGATACTCTCCGTACTTCGGCTCTCGCAGTTCATCAATCAGGAGTTGAATGGAGTCTGGCGATGGTCGTACAAGACATAAACATCGCAAGTGACGCATCTTCTCTCTGTTGGCGTTATCAATACGATCAATGAGATAGACCTCGTGATTCAGCAGTGCTGACTGAGTGATAGCAGTGGACACAATAGGAACTGTCTCGCGGTCCAGCAGCAGAACCTTCATTTTTGCCGACTGTGTCGAAGATGAAGAATCAGCGGACTGAATCATACGAGAGACATAGCCAGCCACTGCTTGTGCCACGTCCATGTTGGCCAGCGGCGCAGAACGCAAAGGTCGAATGCGTGTTGAAGTGTGTTCAATGGAGGAAAGGATGGGATACGTCCTTCGGCTGGTGGTGGCGATGGTTTGAGAATAGGGACCGATGCTCAATGAAAGCTGTGAATTCTCTAAGCGTGGTATTCAGCGGTGTTGTGTCTTCGATGAATTAAGATGAATCGCAGGATGAGCGGAAACAATGTCGTTGGCAGAGTTGACTGGGACAGCTTGCCTGAGCTCCCTGGCCTGCGTGCCTACCACGCCTGCGTACCTTAGGTACCTCATCCTTGGTAAAGTACCCTCGACATTAGGTACACCCACAACTCCAACAGCTTTCTAAGCTGGGTATACCACAGATTTCCCAGCGCTAAAGTCGAAGGCCGGCCTAGAAAAAGGGATTGATAGAAAGAGGTCTCCCTCGCTAGATCTTTCTATGACTTGAGTGTTGTGATATTGTATACATGTTGAGTGGTATTATATACTTCACCATGGCAGTGGAAACTCCCGCGGGATGATTGTGCCTGACACAGTGACTAGCCTCCTCGGGTCAGCTGTGGGTCCTTGGAGCAGTGACGTCCAGGCCACTCCACAGTGTCAAAACTGTTAGTCAAACACCTCAAGGCCGGATGGCACTTCGTCGTGGCATTCATGCAGCATCTAACAGGCTTCCTTCACTAAGATCCAGCTTCCAAAGCCACAAATCTCACGACGGCCAAGTCCTCACCCATAATCTTATACTTCGTCCCCAGTGAGCACATTTCCAGAGACATACTATACTGTCTACTAAGCAACTTGGACGATCGATTCATCTTCCGCCACCATCACGATGGCAGGCCTTGCCGCTGACACTTGCCCAGCAAAGGCAGAACCAACGTCAGCTCTTGTCCCATACGCACGTTTCTGTGAAGAGTATTCCATACTAATTTACAACGTCATAGCCTCTCCTTCACGCAAGGCCTTATTCTTGGCCAGCTGTCAGTGGTTCTCGTTCTTGCCGCCTTCATCAAATTCTTCATCTTCGGCGACCCTCCCTCACCAGAGGTGACAGCATCACTGAGAGCAACAGAGCGTCGGTCAAGGACCCTAGCTCATAAGCGCTCTCTCCTCAGTCTTCGGACGGCCAACGCAAAGCATGGCCAGCAGACGCTTAATCGGAAGAAGTCGAGCGTCCTCCGGAACCCCCCGAATCTTACCATCGGTTCCATCCTCAGCAAAACCTACTACAATGTCGATAGTCACCAGCCAGAAAGTTTGGACTGGTTCAATGTCCTCGTGGCGCAGACAATTGCCCAGTTTCGAAGCGACGCACAGCATGACGATGCCATCTTGAGCTCTCTCACCAAGGCACTGAACGGAGGATCGAGGCCCGACTTTGTAGACGAGATCCGCGTGACGGAGCTGAGCTTGGGAGAGGATTTCCCCATATTTAGCAATTGTCGAGTCATACCCGTTGATGAAGACGGCCTGAACTTGGGTAGCGGCAGGACTCTCAACGCGAGTGCGGCAACGAGGGATGGCGCGAAGCTGCAGGCTCGGATGGACGTTGACCTCAGCGACATGCTCACTCTCGCTATCGAGACAAAGCTTCTCCTCAACTATCCCAAGAACCTCAGCGCTGTTCTGCCCGTAGCACTCTCAGTCTCTGTCGTAAGGTTCAGCGGCACCTTGTCGATTTCCTTTATCCCGAGCAACCCTTCACAGTCCACCCCGACCATGATGACTTTCAGCTTCATGGATGATTACCGCCTCGACCTGTCAATCAGAAGTCTTCTCGGAAGTCGTTCAAGGCTGCAAGATGTGCCTAAAATTGCTCAACTGATCGAGTCGCGGTTACACCGTTGGTTCGACGAGCGATGCGTGGAGCCGCGGTTTCAGGAGATCGCCTTGCCGAGCATGTGGCCGCGCAAGAAGAACACCAGGGGCCCTGAAGATGGACTGGCCGAGATCAACGCGTCGGTGAGTAGGGCAAAGGGGAAAGATATAAACCCGAATCTCCGCGCAGAAGCTCGAAGGGAAGTTGAAGCCGAGGCAAGGACGCAGACAAGTTGGGAGCACGATTCGTTACGTCGACGCAGGATGCGTAGTGACGACGGGTTGACGATGCCCGGCGCGATGCCCGGGCTAGATATCGATATGAAGACCTGATGTGGTCATTGCTAGAGCAGTATCTAATGTATTTACAACCTACAACGCACCTCAGAATCCCTGCGGAAACAGGCTCGCCGAGGTCTGGGTCAGTGGTAACAAACTTCTCCACCAAGTAATGGCTCCAACGAATAAAAGTACATAGTAAATCACCGTCCATTTTCGACTATCGGCAGGTGCATAGTGTCCACTGACGTGCCAGTAAGGCTCGACAGCCCCCCAGAATCGGGGCAGGCCCATTACATTGCAGAATGCGTGCACCAGCACGATGGCTAGTAGGCTCCCTGAGCGGAGGAAGAGGAATGTGGCATAGGCGCCGAAGAGAGAGGTGTAACTGAACTGCAGAATTGAGCGTGCCACTGCGGCGACCAGAGGCACCTTGGGGTGGGAGATGCGGAACTCATAAAAGTGATGAACATGAGCAAAGCCGAAGATGACGGGAGACAAGAAGACGGTTTGTGTCAATGACATGCGAGCGCAGAGCATCAACGGAACAGAGGCAGAGCGGAACAGCATTTCCTCAGTCAAAGGTCCCTTGGTATCGCATTAGCATCCCTAGAAATGGAGCAGATGATACGTCTGGGGCTTCCTTGATGCAACTTACCATGACAATGTTCCGCCAGGTTGTCAACTGGGTCCAGATACGGACAATGGGGCCAAGACCGTGCCAGTCTTCCCAAAGGCCGTCTATGAGAAGAGTCTCGTACAGCGGACCAGCAAACAGGATTGCCGTAAGGAGAAGGCATAATGCGGACTCGAGTATGCCGATGGGCCAGTATCCCATAGCATGAAGTGGTCCATAAGGTAGGGTACCGTCAGGTAGACGGGCCAGGATGATGTAAGTCAGGGCGGAGCATGATGCAGTAGAGAACAGGACAGATCTGATGCGCGTGCGAATGACGACAGGGTCGTCTCTCGACAGCGTTGGTGATGGACGGCTGGCAGGCGAGATGTAGAGAGGGGCCACGTAGATGGCAGTATAAACAACCTGGGCAGGCGAGTTAGCGATTAAACAAGCACATTGACGGAGGTGGAAGGAAGTGAGAAATCATTCGCCTTACCAGCATCGCGCACGCCGTCAACGGCTGTATGAATGGAGGGGCGGTCCCGGGAAGACTTGTGCCAGACCGCGAGTCGGGGTTATTGGACGAAGTCATGGTGAACACCACCGGCGCGACCGCGTTGCCCGAGATGTCTGTAGTAGTCGGGGGATCAACTCAGCACTTGGCTACCAATTCCCAAGGCATGTCAAGAACGGCTATGAATATACCCTGAGTTGTCTCTTCAACCAGGTATCATGGTAATTACTGGAGGAGGTGAAGTGAGGAAATTACATAATCGTTCGGACATTCCGGTGGAGCATAGGTAGGTATCCGTACTATAAACGGATATTCGCAGCTGCATCCAGCTGTCAGCGTAACACATACACAGTACACAGGTACCTAACGAAGTCGAATCTTCTTCGCTTTCAATGACCCCACAACATCCAATGCAGGATCCTGCGCAGCACTTCTGAGTACTTGACACACGACGGGACATGGGGACCTGGAGCGAAATACGCAAGGCACTGAGTACGGATATGAGATCTCACTTTCGACTTTCAAGATGGGAAATGCCCCTGCGTCGTGCTTTCGAATTGGGAAATTGGATGCTGAGCTGTCAGACACCTGCGGACCGTAGTGTCCATGATTCAATTTGTGCCTGCAGACTTTTGTGCAGTAGCGCACTGGTACTACGGATACCTGCGCCTTTGGGCCCTTGAGGGGGGACACTACTGCATGCACGAGGGAAAGGACACCGACAATATGCTGAACAGTGCAAACGCGAAGCGTCCGCGAGGTGGACGCGCCCCGTTGGTGTCGTGGCATTATCCATGGACGGAGGGGATTGTCACCGCATCACCATTGACAAGGCACAATTGGCAGTCTAGGATCAAAGCAACCTTACCTTACTCAGTGGTGAGTGACCAATCAAAAGAGTCAATTGGAACTTCTCATAGAGAAACATGCCGCCAATGAGAGAACGGGATGCCTGACTCCATCGCTGCCCCTAAAAGGTTGCTCATGGAAATTAATCCCTCTTGCAAGTTGCCAGTCTCCAGGTTCCAGTTGTCCAGCATGCATCACGGCCTCATCCTGCAACCATACTTACTCTCAAGGGCGTATTCGCAGCATTCTCGTCATGTCCGCCTCATCTCAGTGTAGCCAGCTTTTCTTGTGCAAAAGAGACAGTGGCTCGGTGTATGTGGGGCGAAAGTCAAGACAAGTGACAACCCTCCCCAACACTTGCTCTTATCAATTTGTCCCCGTCCCACGCGAGAGGGTCCAGCTTTTGTTTCCTCGCCATGTGCATCTACCCATGCAAGTGCACGACTCAGCCATATCGAGACTGACATAATTTCCAGAATTTATCCGCACTTTGGACACAATATTTCTTGTATTAGTAAAAACACAATCGGATCAAGATATGCTCTATGCTATTCGTGCATATCTAGATTCCAGAAGCATTGAGCTCAGATATAGCCGGGTAATCGTGAAGCGAGCGAGTGTTTTAAGCTTCCCCGTCTTCACAGCAACGGACCACCGAGCACTGTCAACGACGACCCGCCGTCACTGTCCAAAGTCCCGGCCCAGGCGGTGTAACTTCTGAATACGAATACACAGTAAGGTAGGTGATGGTCACTGGTCCCTCCTATGGCGCACGAACTTTTTGCGATTCTGTACCAAGACGAGGGGACTCACCAGGTTTTTAATAATGATTTCAACTGGGACTCTGGCCCGGATCCCAGAGTTGTTTACAACACTTCCGCTTGCGGTAAGATGGTCAATAAAGTGGCCAAGTTTTATCCCCCGCCCGCTTTCTCTATCCGCTGTATCGTAAATACGGATAGTGCAAGTTGTGCTCATTTTCGAAAACATAGCTCCGCACCTCATCAAATGTTCGACAGGCATGGGATGATGGGAATTGTGGGATAAAATCCACCTGCGCCAGCTGGCACCTTGTTTCTCAAGGTGCAGCCCAGACGCGACCTCGGCCAAGGTACCGGTGAATAACCTTCCACTGAAATGTTTGCAGTCGGGACATGCCACCCAGCGGCTATGGCACAGAAGCGGCGACCAACCACAGTGAGGTTGCAGATGGTGATAAGCGCCGGAAAACCGCCCACGCTGTTTCCTCGTGTTCCCCGCGCACTCTGGAAGTCTCGTGCTGCTGCTGCGACTGGGAATGTTATCAAGTGCGAGTTACTCTGTCAGAACCCATCCGCTGGCAAGAAAAGAATGGAAGCAAAAGGCGACGTAACATCGGGACACAAAACTTTAGCTGTGTTTTGGCGGAGCAGCCTCTTCTACTCTAGGTTACACCCTGCATCTCACCGCCAAAGCTCAGGTGCGATCCTGAGATGACGTTCATTGTGGCCCAAAGGGGCTTATTTCGGACCACTGAAGATGATTGGGAATGCCAACCTCCGCTGATGCCGGTATTGGTGTCTGGACAGAGAAGTGGTATTTTTTCTTTCCTTTTATTTTTCTTCCTTTTTTCATCTTGCCAACCGAAGTCAGTGCAGCACGGTGCACCGGATGACAGGGCACGGCGACTCGCCGATGCGGGCCATATCCGTACTTCGTCTCCTTGCTTGCCTACATTTTGCGACGGCGTGTACTCAGGCCGCTGAATGGCCGCCCGTCACTGCAGCAGCAGAGGCCAGTGTCCAAACAAAGTGCTGCAAGTTAGTAGAACTGACATACTTGGACCAGTGTTGATCGTGAGCACGGATTCCCTAGAGAGAGAAGCCTTTGAGCTTCGTGTTGCTGATGAGCTAGGTATGTCTCAGTTCACCTTGAACTAAGGTACGGTCTGATACCTCTACTCTTTCTGGGCTAATGATGAGTTGGAACTCCGGGGCCACCCTGCTTCACCGAGGTGAGCCCACCTAAACCGTTTACACTTCCTAACCGTACACACTAATAAATGGGATGATGGACACCGTATCCGTTATGTGCCAATGTCTCCGTTCTCATGAAATTGTCCAGCTGTTCTCTGCAACTCGTCATCAAGGACCCAAGAAGCTGGCTGGACTGACAGGGAACAAGGGAACAAGGGAACATGGGATCATGGAAGCATGGAAGCATGGGTGAGGAAAGAATGATGATGGGGGCCCATTGGATTGATTTCAACGCCGTGGATCGTGCGTATCCGTTCTCTCAGTTTCCCTCACAGACATGGCGCGGAGAGCGGGAGCTAATCAGCTCACGAATGGACGCTTCGAGGCTTGGAGGGCTGGGCGGTTCACCACATGGAATACTTCGTGAAAATGCTGGATAACCTACCCATGCTTCGCTGTGTTCCTTCATGTCTGGGGGCTCCGTTCAAAGGACCGTGTTTTCAAGGCTATGGAGGCGCGCTACTTTAAGTGCAAGGGACGTGCTCTCGGAACAAATGTTTTTTTTTTCTTCTTGGAGACTGGGAAAGCTGAGCTACCTACCTAGAGCCTGCTTGTTGTTTTCTCCCATCCCTAAGACTCTACGCGGATGCTGCGTGTGTAGGTATCCGTACTTCGTAACTGTCATGTTGGGGGCGTTTCTTTTTCCACGTTCACTCTCACTCTTACCGTGCTTCACTATGAACAAGCATGATGCTCCGCACTCGGCTCCATCTGCCGGTAAGCCATGGTATCCCAAGGTTCAAGTATCCGTACCTCGCCTATATCTTTCCCATTACTTTGGGATCTGGGAACGTATGCTACGCAGTAATTAGTGTGCACGATACCAATATCTCGTTTGCTGAGCTATAGAGCAGTTTCAGTCTTCCCTGCCCTACGTTGGTCACTAATTAGTGCGGTACCATCCGTATGATATGGTAGCCTTACCCCAACGCCGCATCTCGGGCTCTCAGCCCAGGACGCCCTTGACCTTCTAGTCGTTTTCCTTGGTGGCGCCGTCGAGCAAGCGATTGCCCTTGGCCGGGTCATCCAGACCTTGTGCTCGTTCACGGGTCAGGGAGCTCCTTGGGGGTGGCCTTGGATCGGGCGTTCCTCCCTGACGGCGGCGGTTTGTTTTGTTTTTCTCGCCAGACTTTGCGAACCACGTCGACGTGGGAAAGGCATAATTAATAATAATAGTTGCTGCTGTCGTGTGTTGCATTTAGCAGCCGTGTGTCAAAAAGGCCTCGACCCCATCGCCATAACGGGTTGGCACTGCTACCCTTCTTCTTCTTGTCCTCCTCCTTATTCCTCTCCTTTTCCTTGCTGGAGATCAGCTGGTGAAGATAAAGGACGTGGTTCGTTCCATTGGAGGACAGCTGGCGCGCATCAGACTCGACAACCCGAACCATCAACCAACCCAGGGACGATCCCATACGACGCAACGGCTATCGAATCGTCCCCCTTTCCTACGAATACACTACTGCGTAGGTATTCCGCGCCGCCCACCGTGTCGGAGTGACTCTAGCCAGTTGGGTCTCCCGCCGCCGCCCCCTGGTTCTCCGGCTCGAGCCAGTCCGGCCGACATTCCACTTACAGACGGGTGCTGCAGCATAGCCGCCATCAACCATTGCCGCGCAAAAGTCTGGCCCAGCTTCCAAGCCCCTGATCTGGCTCGAGTGTCGAGTGTCGAGTCTCGAAAGCAGCCCTGGCCGGCTGGCATTTGATGGTGTCAAGTGTCGAGGCCCAACCTTGCCGCTCATTCGGCCACTCCCACTGCCAATTCGCAGCAGCATCCCATTACTTGTGCAGAAGTCCCCGTTCTGCATACGACGCAACGAGCCCTCGACCGCCTTTTTCGCATCCAGGGCCGGCCCACTTCCGCTTGGGTGAGCAAGAATTGTCGTCGCGCTGTGCTGTCAGGAATCAGAAGTCGGGACCCAAGAGTTGGACCTGCATAAGACCCGGAGTCTCTCTTTCGAACAGAAATCATCCAAAACGTCGGCTTGACTGGCGGCTGGCGACAAAATAGCCGCTTGGCTGGAGACTAACTGTTCTTGCATATCGATTCAGATAGGCAGTCGTGGACGGGGAGCGACCTGTATCTATTTATTGGAAGGGGGAAAGCGAGGTAAGTGGCCGACAACATTTCTTACCTTTCTTGCCTCTCCTGCCTTCCATTCTTACCCGAGGTGCCTTCCAAGTCTAGAATTCGAGGCTTTCGGTTTCCGTAAGTACCTTGCCATTCATGAGTACCTACTTACCATACCTACCTACCCGTACGGTGTACGGTGTATCTGTACGGATACCTGAGAAGTGAGAGGATTGGAACACCACCTGTTTCTCCTTGTCTTTTTCTGCTTTCCTCTCGGCTCCTGCCTTGGTCTGCTTCCATTCCCACTTGTTCCTCTCCTCCTGCCCTGTGGCCTGCCCTGTCACCCTGTCTAGCTCTTCACCACGGGTATCCTTCACCTGCAAGATACCCTGCACTTACTGCTTCACCCCGGTCGTTCATTGCGGGCCTGGTATCCGTAGTGTACCTGGCTGTACCTACCTGGCCTAGCCTCCCCCCCCCCCCCCACACACATACACACACACACACGCAAACGCACCTCAATCACCTTGTACTTGCAGGCTTGTAGACCACCAGATGGGAGAAGGGGAGGCTAGAGCTTCTTGTCCACTTCCATGAGGTGGCAGCCAGAGCTCGGAGGTGCCCACCCCAAGGTACCTTAATGTCGTCTGTCCGCCGTCGTGGTGTCTTTTCTGGTCTTCTACTCCTCTTCCTGCGCTCCCGAAATTCTTTCCCTTTCCCCCTTCCTTTTCGCCCTCTGTCTCTCTCCTCCTCCGGCCCTGTGGTCCATCTTTCGTCGTGCTTGCCGACGTCTTTTTCTTGTCTCGTCTTTTCAATTGTATCTCAAGGCCATTTCGCCTGTACTAATCTCACACTCTCATTTATCGTCTCTCGTGACGTCTTTTCTTTGCCTTTTCCCTTGTTCTTCTTCATTGTCACACTCTCTTATACCTATAGTACATTATCTTACACATCTCCGAATCCAGTCAATCACTCACTCATTTCACCAAATTTTGGCCGCCGCGGCTACTCCACACGCAACAACATAAACCACCAACGAAGAATTCCACTCAATCCACGCGCCATCCATCCATCGACGACACTCTCTCAACCAACACACATTCACACACCTGTTAGGTATCTTAATGAAGAAAAGCGGCCGTCTCATGCATTTGGTGCATTTTCATCTGGACCACTCCACTCGAGTCGAAGCAACACGGAACCTCTCAAGCTTAACGACCACATTGGACGTCTTGTACTCGACCAAATCTATTTCGACGGAATCCCCTTCGGAATTTTCGAAATACCACCACGAATTCTGACTGCCCCGAGCTAGAGCTACAACTACAACAGCTAACTACTTCCACACACCCTTCTCCACGGCGCTGCATGACCTCGAGAGCCGGAATTCGCACAATCAAAGCCAACTGTGATTGTTTCTCATCCTACCTTTAATTCGAGATAGCTAGAGCACAGACCGGATCGGTGTCCGTCACCTTCGTCACCCCCAGCTGTGCTGGTCTCGAGTCAGCCGCTCCGAGAATTCCATTGCGCTCGGCCCCCGCCTGCTCCCGCAACCGCCCTATCCCGTTAAGCTTGGGTGCCACTCGCACTCCATGGCTCGGATAACCCACGCCGACAAAGACTACCCGCCTCGACCCTTACGCTTGTCTGCGAAAGCCACCGGTTTCTCCTCCCTCCCGCATCCACCTCACGGAGCATGTCCGGCTCCGGGTCCGGGTCTGGGAGCCCCTCTCGGGGCAGCCCTTCCCGGTCCCAACGGAGGCCGTTGCATGAGCGCTCCAATTCCCAGTCTAATTCCCTAGCCATCCGCATCGTCCCCTACAGCCCGCCTCGTCCAAGCCACAAAAATCGAGACTCAACCGCCTCAGCTTCGTCATCACGCACCCCCACATCGACGACCGCACTGCTATCTCCCAACCCATCAGGTTACGATCACACCAGCTATTCATGGACCGACGACCGCACCGCCAGCCGCGCCAGCGATCGCTACTCCCACAGACGGTCTCACTCTTCCAGCACACGAACCTCAGTGCTATCGCCAGCCTCCTCAACCTTCCCATTGGTGAGCGCCAAGGATAGCGGTGTTTCAGGCTCGAAACTGCGATCCGACTCTTTGCCCGGCGACGAATCGTCCCCCACCACCCCTGTCCCTACCACTCCACCACATCAGACCGATATTTCCCACGTTAATGCACGATCCCGGTCTACCCAACGCAGCGCCGACAATGAGCCTGTCACACCCTCAGCGAAGCGCCCCTTGTCCCGCCGTCGCAATCTCATTACGCTCAACGCCGATGGCAAGACCTTTTCCCTATTGCCTCAGGGGCAGCGGGCCGGAACCCAAGGAGACCACGCCTCTAGCACCGCCCCAAGGTTATCACTTTCGACTACCGCCTCGCATGAGCGCCTTTCAGACGCCTTCAGTGAAAATCGTCCCAGCTCAACCGTGACTTCCTACCCGGATCAAAGCTTCGCTTCCACGTTGACCCCGGCATCCTCGACCACGCAATTAGCAGGTGATTCTATTACCAGCACAGCCGGGTCTTCGTCGTCTCCCTGGAACTATCGAATGGTTGGTGGCCTACGCAAGGTTCCCAACACTCCCGATCTCAAGCAGAAGCAGAAGTCGACGCTACTCTACCCGGAATCCGATCCAGCCTCATCGTACCTGTCATCCCCATCAGGTTCTCGACTCGCGCCGCTGCCAGAGGCGCCAATCGCTGCTGATTCGTCTGAATCCTCCGAGCCCCACGATTTGCAGCCCAAAACCTCCTTTCAGTCATCCGTCACTGCGTCCACGACTTCAGAAAAGACGAACTACAAAGTCTACGGCTCCAATTCTCCCCAAGCGACCGACACCGACAGCGTTTTACATGCGCCATCAACGACCTCCGAGACAACAAACTACAAGGTATTCAGTTCCAGCTTACCTTCTTCGCCCGAGCGGGAGGAGTCGTTGCAACCGCCATCCTCGAGCCACTCCAACTACGTAGTCCTTGGCCGGTCTTCGCCTCCAGAACCATCTTCTGCCGAGAGAAGTCCTCCAAAAACGGCCGATAGCGAACAGAATTACGTTGTGCTCGGCGCATCGTCCCCAGCACCATCTTCCGTCGCCTCTAGCCGCCGTTCCCGTATCAGGCCCGAGTACTCGCAGGAAAGCCTTTTGGTGGCTCCGCTGAAACCCTACAAGGCGAAGAAGAGGACCAACGAGAGGTTTGGATACTACAAGTCGCGTTCGAGGGATTCCTTGCGTCGTGCAGCGTCGGTGAAGTCGATTTCCGGCTCGCTCACTCTCGAAGCAGCCCAGAGTTTCCTCGCCTCGCCTGCTGCGTTCTATCGATCCCGTGTTCTGGCCAGCCAGCCAGGTCGGCAGCCTGACGCGCAAGCTGCGCCAACGGAACCCGCCCCCATTTCTGTTCCTGCTGAATCCCATATGACCACTCATCCTCACCAATGGAGCTCACAACTATCCACCGTGATTTCGGAGAGTGAGGGGGACAGCGAGCCTCCATCACGTTCCGTGTCCCCATGGTCTGTACCTGGGAGACGGGGTAGCATACCGTTGAGCAGCCATAGCCGGCAGATGCTTAGCATTTCGTCGTCGCTAGCTGCAAATGAGGAGCGCTCACTCTCTCACTCAAGATCCTTCACGGACTCTCTGGAACGCCCTCAAGCTACACACAGCAGAGGGAATACGCTTCGCATGGTCAGCGATCGAGACGAACATGGCGACGGTCTGGCAGAGCTGAACCAGCTACATCAACGGCCTTCGCGGACCGGCCTTTCAGGCTTCTTCTCGAGTTCCTCGTCAGACCGGAACCTCCACTCCTCCAGTAGCTCCCGTGCGAACAGTCTGAACTCGGCGTCCATTCCCGCTTGGGCCAAGTAAGTCGACCCGATGTCCTGCAGGAAGCATTATGATACCGGTAATTGGACCTCAAGCTAACATACTCGCCTACTTGTAGATTCTACTACGGAAGCGGAGAACGTCGATTCCTTGCCAGCTCTGGAGACTCAATTATGTCAGATCCGAATGATAGCCGGCCACCAAGCTCATTCCAAAGCCGTTCCCCCAGCGTTGAACAGCTTGCCATGAACATCTATAGCCCCAGGCGACGGCCAAGGGAGGTAAACCTTGCCAACCCTCGGCCACTGTCAGATGTCGGCTCCATGGAAATCGGCCAAGCACCGTTCACAGACAACCGAATGCGCAGCGGGTTAAGGAAGAAGACATCCAGCATCTGGTCACCCCACTTGCGGCGTGATCAGAGGGCTGGTCGTCACAGCATCTGGGAACCACCTTCTATGACGTGGTCAGCCGAGACGAGCATGCTGGGGAAGCGAAACGTGCAGGTTGCTTTCTTCGCTCTGGGATTCATCTTCCCATTCGGTGAGACACTCCTACTCAACGGCACTGTATTGACACAAGGCTAATCTGAGCCAGCATGGATGATTGCTGCCTTCCTTCCGCTACCCCCGGACCCTCAAGCTGAGATGGCCGAGCGCGACCCACGATCAAGCCTGTTGGACGAAGAACGAGACCTTCCTCGGCGAGTTGCAGCGGTTGACGAGACTCTTTTCCAAAGCGCCCGTTGGTGGCGTGCTCTTAACCGGTACATGTCCGTCATTGGTCTTCTAGTCGTTGGCGCCATTGCGGCTCTCGTTGTCGTCGGCGTAAAGCAAGGGTGGGGCCAAATGGTGTAGCTGCCTACTCCATGCTGCCTCCTTTCTAACTGTATGCACCACCTCAAATAAAGGGATATGGTGCCCGAACACGCCGCGGTACACAGCTTTCGGCCCCAGCAACAAACGAGTATTCACCAAAAGCATCATCGGCCGTTGAAATCCAGCGCATCGGCAGCACGATTGGGGTAACGACTTAATCCCTTCACGAATCTACGACATCATTTATTCTTTTTCTCATATAGACATGCACATACCAAGTTTTCTCGGCGGCCGACCATCTGGCCAATTCTATCATCTAGTCTAATGGCTCCGCACAACGACGACGGTTGCTAGCCATGCAGTTCGCTGTAATTGTACACCTGGCCAGACTGGGCCATACCCTTGATGACAACATGATGGCATTTCCTTCTGATTTTCTCTCGTTGGGCGACTTGGATTGCTTGACGATACCCCCCTTGGTTTTACACGGGAGTCAAACATGCTGGGACTGGTGTTGGGTGATTGGAGACGACTGAGCCAGACAGTGGCATCACGTTACTATTGTGGGATATAGACATCATATTATAATGGTTTAGTTTTAGATCTGCATAGCCTGAAATGTCTAATGACCTGCCCTTGTAGGGCAGCTTGCAACCCAACGCCTCGCCCATTTCGCGACTTTGACAACGGCTCTAGGCCCATTAACGCTGTTTTCATGTATGCAGGAACAAAGGCCGCTTTGGATGAAGACG